CTGTGTTGGCATGGGTTTCCTCTGGGTTTCTCCGGTTTCCTTCAGGTATATGGGTGTTTCCCAGTACTAGGTTGCAGTTGGAAGGGCATCCGCTGCGTAAAATAGTTGGCGATTCATTCCACTGTGTTGACCCCTGATAACATAAGGGGTTAAGCTGAATGAAACTTAATGATTGAATTGAAACGTTTCTGTGTGGAGTTTGCATGCTCTCCCTGCGTTCGTGTGGGTTTCCTCAGGGTCCTCCGGTTTCTCCCACAGTCCAAACACATGCGGTACAGGTGAATGTTGTTATGGTCAATGTGTGCATTAGCGGCAGAACAACCATTGAGTTTCTCTACCAAACTATTGCACAATCTGCCAAACAAATATAGTCTAAAAATTAGATTAAGACAGTCTTTAATACCTCACACAAGCTTATTTAAAGAGTCAGGAAAAAAAACTTGCAAAAAAAAAAACACTGCATTATTGATTTGAATGCAGATCAACAATAACACAGGGTGGTTGTGCACTTTTTTGTGCACTTAAACTATTTCAAGGCGACGCAGTGGCGCAGTGGGTAGCACGTTCTCCTCACAGCAAGAAGGACGCTGGGTCGCCGGTTCGAGCCTTGGCTAAGTTGGCATTTCTGTGTGGAGTTTGCATGTTCTCCCTGCGTGGGTTTCCTCCGGGTGTTCCGTTTTCCCCCACAGTCCAAAGACATGCGGTACAGGTGGGTTGGGTAGGCTAAATTGTCCTTAGTGTATGAGTGTGTGTGTGAATGTGTGTGTGTGTGGATGTTTCCCAGAGATGGGTTGCGGCTGGAAGGGCATCCGCTGTGTAAAAACTTGGATAAGTTGGCGGTTCATTCCGCTGTGGCGACCCCGGATTAATAAAGGGACTAAGCCAACAAGAAAATGAATGAATGAATAAACTATTTTACTTCACTTTCTCAACTTCTTCTATCAGCGTCATGATGCTTTTCTTGTTGCATATTTGCATATTATTCTTCTAGTTGCCATTTTACAGATCTTGTGTAAACATTGCACAACTTCTGACAAAACTGTTTAAAGAAACCCCTCACGAATCTAGTGTCACAGCAGTTGTCATCAAGAGAGATTGCACAAAGATCACAGGTTAGATAAATAGCAATTATTTTCAACAAGACATTTCAATTGCCACCTCCATGGGTGTTTTCGATTCAAATGAATTCTGACCAAACCACGTTTCTTTTACGGGCAGGGCTGAGCTGGGCTGGGCTGACAAAACTTCTGCGGTTGATGCTTTTGACATGAGCAGTTTCTGTGTAGAGCTGCTTTATAATAGAAAGGTGAACCTCACGCAAAGCAGGTTCATCAGAACAATAACCAGATTTGTTTGTTTGGCGACTGTCATTTCAGCAAGTGAAACATCCTTCATTTCAGCATGACCTTTTAGGTATTTTTTTAAGACAGCAGCAGCTGTGATTTATGATTTATTTATCTTACAGCTTCATCACTGCACAATCTGACCCTGTGATGACCCATATGCATATATCATCTATCTTATCTTATATCTGTTTTAGTATAAGGAAGAAATGCCTACAACTAACAACTTTCTTTATCTTTCTGAACAAGCGTCCATTTCCTTTAACCCTAAAACAGTATTGCATGATTCAGAATACAAGTAAAATACCTATAAATATTCTATATGAAATGTTTGTTTTCAGGAACGCTGTGTGTCGTTCAAAAATAATTGCATACTTTTTTTTTTGTATTTATGTGCTCACATGAACTTGTTTTTCTGTTTTCGAGTTCTAAATTACTGTCTGCGTTAGGCTTGGGTGGTATCCAAATTTTTATACCAACCTCCCTCCCTATTTTGATCAAACCTCCTCCCTATTTTACCTCGGTATCCGGTATTACCGTGCATAATAAAAAAATTAAGACTTAAGGCTCAGACAGCGTCACCAAACTGTTGGCTTGTGCCTAAACCAGAGGTCACCAAACTTGTTCCTGGAGGGCCGGTGTCCTGCAGATTTTAGCTCCAACCCTAATCAAACACACCTGAACAGGCTAATCAAGGTCTTACTAGGTATACTTGAAACACCCAGGCAGGTGTGTAAAGGCAAGTTGGAGCTAAACCCTGGAGGGACACCGGCCCAGGACCAGGATTGGTGACCCCTGGCCTAAACCATTCAGAAACTGACTACCGTATGTGCAACCTTGGGTTCGCGGTCACCTGTTTGTCTTGTTCGTATTAGAGATCTGTGCGGGACGGTCTGTCTCATTCACACGCACACACACACACACACACACACACACACACACACACACACACACACACACACACACACACACACACACACAGAGACAGAAAGAAAGCACCAAGCAACACACAGCATCATGCTCTCTCTCATTTACACACACACACACACACACACACAAACAGCATCCACGCAGATGCCCGCTCCCTTTCAAATTACACCAGAGATACCGACCGCTCCCGCGCTTTATTCGGAAATTTATTCCTGCACTGCAAGAAATCTGGTCGGGTCCTGTGGCTCCTGCAGTACAGCAGCGTAATGCAGACCTCTAGCTTGTTTTTTATCCATGTCTCTGTCGAAAAAAGAAATACTGCCACACTGCAGGTCACTTCCCATCTTACCTCACCTCTCTCTCTCTTCTCCACACTTTCTTGTGATGACAATCACGCATACGCATTTGTAGGCATTAAATAAATAATATTTATTATTTAATACTTATCTCCTATTTAAGTGCACTGTTTTTTATGACGGTATAACGGTATTGAAACTGACACCGTTGCTGTTTTTAGATCCAGCGGTATACCGTATTACCACCCAAGCCTAGTCTGCGTGCACGAGGTTAGTAATTTGCATAATACACGCCCAAAGCAGGCATCACGATGGCTCAGTTGGTATAAAAGCCATAAGTTCATTGTTTTCATTTATGTTAAATTAAAAATAATGTAAAAAAGGAAAACTTATTGAAAAGCAAGAAATACTGGTATTAAGTAATTACACTTTTAATGTAGAGCAGGGGCGGACTGGGACAAAAATTCAGCCCTGGCACTGTAGCCACACCAGCCCACATTACCACACCGAAACAGCCCCACCCACAGACACGCACATTCACTATTTAGTCTACAGATGGTGAAATAATATGACATTCTTGCCAGATTTTGATTATGTATGGGTAACCTCGGATTGGGTTGGCCCATCTTGAAACCAGGCGGCAGTTTATTATTTATTAACATTTATTATTATTATTATTATTATTATTATTATTATTATTATCATCATCATAATATCACATCTAGCAAGAGATAAAAGCTGTCTGCACTTAAAAACATATTTAAAAACATATTTAAAAAAAAAAAACTGACCGGCCCACATTTAAAAATTGGTCCGGCCCTTCTGGCATTTGCCAGAATTGCCAGATGGCCAGTCCGCCCCTGATATAGAGTATATGCTGATGTCACTTCCGGGAAGCAAGAAGTCATGAAGATAGAGGCAAGACAGTTTTTGACTGTGTAATATAGGTGTTTGGTAAACATTTTTCGAAACGACATCACTGGACTGTCTTATGTTACTCGCATTCAAATCCCGCTTATTCAAAGAAAGAAACAAGACAAGAAGAGACAGACTGATGGCACAAACAGTTGGCATTTCTGTGTGGAGTTTGCATGTTCTCCTTGTGTTTGCGTGGGTTTCCTCTGGCTGCTCCGGTTTCCCCCACAGTCCAAAGACATGCGCTATAGCTGAATTGAATGAGCTAAATTGGCTGTAGTGTATGTGTGTGAATGAGTGTGTGTGGGTGTTTCCCAGGGTTGTGGCTGGAAGGGCATCCACTGCATAAAACACATGCTGGATAAGTTGGCGGTTCATAGGCTGAGGCAACCCCTGATTACTAAAGGGAATAAGCCAAAAAGAAAATGAATGAATGAATGTGAGGTCTTGTTGTCGGAGGTGGAAGCCAGCTCTAGCACCAAGACTATTGATAAAGTGGTTGCCCAGCAACATAAGCTGCGCAGAGTAGTAAAAAAGTCAGTAAAGTATAAAAGAAAGTCAGAGCTGAAAAGGGCGTTTGGTGTGATCGTCCACTAAAAAAAGCGACTGAACGGCCATTCGTTAATCTCAGCAAACATATCTCTAAAGACATCTCTATCGCTTTCTGTCAACTTGTTTACACCAGCGATGTTTTGGTTGTACATAAACTTGCGTGTGCAAAAAGAAGCCAAATGTAAATAGTTCTAGCGACTTTATTCTGGGATAACCTAGAATCTAAATTAATACACTTCCATAAAGTAAATCGTATCCCAAAGCTTTTACTGGGGCACTTTTTTTTTTTTGCACCGTCTCCCCATGCCGCCCCCAGCAAAATGCTGCCCTGGGCGATCACCCATACTGCCCATCCCTAAAGCCGCCATTGAATATGTGCATAAAACTAATGAGTGAAAACTGCTAATGAGGTGAATGGGGCTGAGAATGTTATTGAAAAGACTTATCCAGGGTTTGTACAAACCTCCATGGGTAAATAGACTGCTATCGAGAAAATCTGAACATACCACACTAATTAGCTGGCATATTTCCCAAATGTGGAAGAAAGACATACTTTTTTTATTTAAAGTCACTAGATGGTCACATATTGCTATACATGCCCATAAAACAAATAAGAAACAAACATTTACTCTCTCTAAGATTCTAATTCATTGATTCATTCAGCAGATCTCATCATGTCAAGTCTGTTGTTGAACCGGTCCATTACTGGTATAATTGTCTTTAACTTTTTCGCATATTTTCATGCACTGTTACATTTCTGAGGCTTTGTCAGCTTAGTTAGCAATGTCGTTTGACTGCAATGTGTGGTTTAAAACAATTTAACCGAGCGATGGCAGATTTATCATTTAAGAAACACTTCATTTTAAGATTTTTCCATAATGCTATGCTAATATGCTAATGCTAACATATCATCTTTTTACTTTCAAGCAAGCATACGTAATAAATGACATAACCACACACATTCTGTCTTTGACGTTAGCTTTATTGTTGTAAATGCTCAAAGACAACCACCACATTTTGACAGCATGTTAGGAGCGCGATGTTTCTTTACCCGACATGAATCTGGTGTGCTTTACTTAACAAGGGACGTGGAAGAGGAAGAAACCACCTTTCCATCAATCACCTCTTCCACAACAGTGATCACTGCTGTTTTAGTGGTGCTGGTGGTGGAGCTGGAAGTGGAGCTGGAGCCCGATTTGCTAGAAATTGCAAGGCTGTTTGGAGACAAAAAATCAACAACCAGTTAATCCTGTAGTGCCTGGTTTGTACTACAGTATTTAAAGCTTAAAACCACAAACTTCCACCGAACCCTAAATCTGTCTACTACTATTCGAAAGATTTGTTGAAGGGTATGTTTACATAAAAACAATACTTTTGTTGAAGTTCATTAAATTGATAAGAAGTGATTGTAATGATGTTTATGTTACAAATGTCTGTATAAATCTATATGTGTTGTTTATGAGACTTAATGCTAACACTTTGCAATGAGGTTGTATTAGTTAAAGTTGCAGTTTGTAAGTTTGACACCCAGTGGTTGAACTAGTTATTGCACCCCTGGTTCAAAGCCAGATTGAAGACACCAACAAAGGCTGATTTAAATCGTGTTGTTAATAAAAGCAATGGCTCGCAACAAAAGGAATATTTTCCATATTAAAATGAGTTTTTATCCTAAGTAACACCTGAAATTTATATTTTAGAAACAGCTTCTATTTCCTGCAGCTGAACAACTGGATAAACTGACAATGATACACCTCTTACGCCCCATTCACACGGGTCGTCAGCGCCAACGCTTTCCATTCACTTTGAATGGGTGACGTCAGGCGTTGCCGAACTGCATTGTGGATCCGTCTGCGCCGCTTCAGAGGTGTTGCTCGCTACAGAAGTTGGGAACAGCTCAACTTTTTAAGCGCCGACGGAAGCGTCAGCCAATCAGATCGCTGTATGCAAATACACCAGCTAGACAGTGGCCTATTGCTGACTGAATTTCATTGGCTGACGCTTCTATGACGATCACTTCAACCCCAACTTCAGACACGCCTTCAGTCAAGCGTTGACGCTACAGCCCTGTGTGAATAGGGCACTATGCTTTATTTAGTGTTAAATGCTAATAGTGTGAGTTTGAATGCCATTTTACATGATATTTATGGCCATGCTACTGAAAGCAGCAGCAGATAGTTCACCTCAGATCAGTGATTCAGCATGTACAATTAATTTTAGGTTTAATATGTATTAAATTGAAAACTTTACAATTTCTTTGGAGTGCAGTGAGTGCACTATTCTGTGCTACTGAATGGCTTTATTTAACTTTTTTTGTGTGTTTTATCTGGTGCAAACAGCCAAATTGCTTATCACTGCTTATCTCGTCATGTAGTGTGTTGTTAAGGAGGCAGGGTTACAACCAGGGCTTGACATTAACACCTGCCAAATGTGGGTATATGTCAGCTGTGACGGGTAAGACAGCCACCATCTTTAGCCTATTTGGTTGAAAATTAATTTTTTAAAGTGAGTAAAAAAAGCAAGGTTGGACAATAAAGATGGTCCAATATTCGAGCAAATGTCATCTTAGAATCGAGAAGCAGCAGGACTGACAAAAATTATTGTGTCCGCATGAGCAAGAGAAAGCAGGTGCATGCCGAATGAGAGGATTACTCACGCACACAGGTGATGTAATGTGCGTTACTGTTTAAAAAGTGCTAATTATGGAACAAATTCAATGCCAAAAGTATTGAAATAAAAAGCTTGTTGACTAGCACAAACTAAAAAAATTATATATTAAATCAACAACTGTTTGCATTTTAATGACTTGAATTCTAGGGTTTGTATTTTTAGGTCCTGAAATTTAACACAGCTGTTTATTTCAGCTGTTAATATTTTAACTTAAAAACACGTTTTCATACTTATAAATTCAATAATTCATATTTAATTTCCAGGTTTCACTTATAAAAGGTAATTTTATTTTATTTCAGTTTAAAAATTCACTTCCATAAATTCAGTGGATCAAATTCGGCTCTTAAAATTTGACATTACTTTCAGAAACTGCAGGAAAAGCAATAGATTGCAGATTGACTATCTCCAGCTGCTTTTTCACTAACAGGTGGACCAATTTAAGATTTTAAAACCAGTAAATAAGTAATGAAAAAAGCTAATAACGGCACAAAAGTAGCATTTAATATTGTCAATGTAAAATTTTAACAGCCTAATTTGATCCACTGAATTTATGGAAGCGAATTTTTGAACTAAAATAAAATTAATTGAATATTGTTGTTACATTATACATGAAATCTGAAAATTTAATAAGAATTATAGTTTTTTTTAAGTATATAATCATGTTTGAAATATTTTTTGTTGAAATATTGACAGCTTAAATAAACAGCTGTGTTAAATTTCAGGCCCTAAAAATACACACCCTGGCAATCCAAGTTATTAAAATGCAAGCGAATGTTAATTCAATGTATTTTTTTTTTTTGAGCTTGTGCTATTTGATAAGCTTTTTATTTCAATACAAATTGGCATTTTGGCATTGATTTTGTTCCATAGCTAATTATGTACTGTTGGTGTGCCTGTAAACAACTACTTGTTTGATTTCTGTACTAGCAGGTCTGGGATTTACCTGCCGCTGGCTTCTGCATCCAGCAGTCTTCTGTACTCTGCGATCTCCATCTCCAGCCTGGTCTTGATGTCCAGAAGCATCTGATACTCTTGCCCTTGGCGTTCCAGATCAGCGCGGAGCTGCACAAGTTGACCCTCCATTCCACTCACCTACAAGCCCGAGGTATGAAGGCAGAACATTTAACCCCAACTCAGGTCATTTATGAGTTGACTTAAGTAAGACATCTGTCTGTAGGAATGTCTCACCTGTGCCTGGTAGCCAGAGAGCTGCATGGAGTAGCGATTCTGAGTATCATTCAAAGTGCCCTCCATGGATGATTTCTGTGTGGATATCAAGAAAAACATACATAATTAACAAAAGTGCACATGTTCTATAACGTTTGACATTCAAAAGAGTAAATCAGGTTTTATCAATCAAATATACACTGTAAAAATATATATGTTAATTAACAGTTTCAGTATTTCCTTTATTTACGGTTATGAATTGCATTATGGGACCTTGATCGTTGCTTTGTCGATATTTGTTGTTGTAAATTAACTCTACAGTTTAACAAAATGACTTTTATTGACATTGTAAAAGCTTGGAATATTATAATGTATAAGAAATAATTTAGAGATAGGAATCGGACATTACTTTCCAATCAGGACTTAAAAATATAAGTATATTATATATATTCATATTACTTTTGAACACATCTATAGTTATGCAGTGGCAAATAGTTAGACCTCTTTCTTGACTTCACACAGATGCAGCAACGCGTGCGGCATGACATCACTCTGTTGCAGAGACGCTATTGGTTAAATGCCGGCAAAGTAGTACAAGGAAGCAGCTTGAAGTGGAAACACGAGTATGTCTGCGGTCTGGAGGTATTATAAAGTTGATGACGACAACATTGCCATAGCAAACTGTGAGATGTGTAAACTTGGGATTGTCAGCCGGGTATTTCAAGCTGAGGTGATATTTGTTTTTATATTGGATTTTTCACATTACACATTTCTTCCACACACACACTTACCATTGCAAGGAGAGACTGAAGCTCAATCTCCAGGGACTGTACTGAGCTCTTGACTGAGTTGACTTCGGTTTTTGAAGTCTGCAGGGTCTCTGTGCTCGCTACAACCTCCTGTTTCAAAGTCTCAGACTGCAAAACAAGTGTGTCAAAACAAATGTTTAGTTTGATGTGAACTGAGATGTGTTATAAAAATGCTTAAATTAAGTCTAGAACCAAATGCTAGTAAATTGTACAAAAAAAAGTCAATAACACAGAATTAAACATGACATTTCAAAGTAGAAAAATTTAAATTTGTGCTTATATTTTGACCTACTAAGCTACATATGACTTTAAAGAGAGAGTTCACCCAAAAATGAAAACTCGGCCATCATTTACTATTGAACACGAAAGAAGATATTTTGAAAAATGTAACCATTGACTTCCGTAGCTTTTGTTTTTCCTACTATGGATGTCAATGTTTACAAGTTTTTTATTTTTCAAAATATTTTCAACAGAAGAAAGAAACTTCTTTGGAACCACTTGAGAGGGAATAACCCTTGATTTTTGGGTGAACTATCCCTATAAGTGTTGTGTTTATCATATAGGGCAGGGGTGTCAAAGTCAAATTCTGGATGGCTGGTGCCCTGCAGAGTTTAGTTCCAGCTTCATCACACCTATCTGCAGGTATCAAACAAGCACTCAATTAGTTTGATCAGGTGTGTTTAATTAGGGTTGGAACTAAACTGTGCAGAGCTGATGCCCTCCAGGAACTGGCTTTGACACCTTTGATACAGGGTCAAGTTATGAATTTAACCAACCTTCTGCTGGAACCAGCCTTCAAGTTCCCTCTGGCTCTTGGACACAACAGTCTCATAGTGCTCGCGTATGTCAGCTAAAACTTTGGTGAGATCTTCCTGTGGTGCGGCATCAACCTCCACGTTGACCTGTCCACTCATTTGATCGCGTGAGGTCGAGAGGTCCTGAAAACACATCACATCTCTTTAAAAACACTTTCACAGCATGACCTGTTTATCCTTGACCTCGAATGGAATGGAATGAAAATTTGTAACAAAACAGTGACATCTAGAGGTTAAAGATATAACGCTGACCCGACCTGACCTCCTGTCTAAATTGTTGAACTGCGCTATTTTTAAAAAAATGCCACCTTTTTAGATTCTCAGAAGCATTTTTTAGTAAATGGTTCTTAAATTAATATTTATTTCTGACTCTGAAGTAGATTCAGATCTCTAAATAACCTTTTTTCTTCAATGAAGATTGGAAAGATTGTATGAGATTCATCAATAACGGGATATAACTTCTTGATAGCATACATTTTGAGTTTTTCTACTAGCCTGAAAGGTTTTGTAATGATTTATTACCTCCTGGTGATTCGCCTTCATGTAGGCCAGCTCCTCAGTGAGGGCTTCGATCTGCAGATTGAGGTCTTTTTGGCCCATGTTGAGGTCACTGAGAACATTCTTCAACCCAGCGATGTCAGCTTCCACAGACTGACGCATGCTCAGCTCATTCTCATATCTGCAAAGCAAAAAACAACAGGATAAAATACACAGTAGCCAATGTTTGAAGTGGAAGTCTTTCATCAAAGTTGTCCTTACGCTAGTGAACACCACCCATTCTTTACTTTGGACAGTTTCAAAACCGTTATTGGTCCACTTCAAATGTTAAGTACTGAATATCCAGCCTGACCTCATGAGGAAACGTACAGTAAGTATTTCATGTTTTGTCAGTTTAGTGGCTAATTCTTACAAATTCATACGAGTTCAGTTGTACGAAAATGTACGATTTTAAAAAGAAGGCCTGGCACCCAACCCCATGCCTAACCTCAACCGTCACTGGGTCATGAGCAAATCGTACTAAATTGTACGAATTAGATCTTACGAATTCATACGAATTAGCCACTAAATCAAAAACTTCCGAATTGCAGTGAGATTGCGTTGGAATATCTGTGTGTATTATTTAGTCAATTTTACAACAGTTATGATTGCAGTTTTACTTCAAAATTTCACTTGTATACAAAGTGTTACTTGACATTTCTTTGGAAAGTTTGCTAAATTTATTATGAATTTCTTAGTTAAGTTGGTTTCAAAACCAATTTCCAGTGTTCACTTTAAATAATCTTAATGTAAAAATGATTTTAATGGTAAAAAGAATTACTTTATTCTGAAGTCATCCGCAGCCAAGCTGGAGTTGTCAATACTGAGGTGAACAGTGTTATTCAGCTGTATGGCGGCCAAGATCTGAGAAGTAAAAATTATAAATATTTTGCCTTTTTTATGGTGTGGTTGTATTATACAAATAAGCAGTAACCTCAAATGATCTGCCTAATTAGACTTACCTTAGCCTGGAGGTCACTGACAACAGTCTCGAAGGCAGAGTAGTTACGTGCAGCTCCAGTAGGAGAGATTTTGTTCTCCAGGAACTCCCGTATCTTCAACTCTAGCTCAGCATTGGCTTTCTCAAGAGAGCGCACCTTGTCCAGGTATGAAGCCAGACGGTCGTTGAGATTCTGCAAGGTGAACTTCTCATTGCCAATGATGCTGTCATCTGCTGCTCCAGAGGCACCGATTCCCCAGAATCCTCCTCCTGCTGCAGCACCAAATCCTCCACCAGCCCCAAACCCTGCACCAGCACCACCTGCAGACCCAAATCCACCTCCAAAGCCGAAGTTACCTCCTGATCCTGCTGCGGACATGGAGCGGGATGCACTGGAGATGCGGACCCCTGCGCCTCCTGCACCTCCATACACACTGCCAGACCTCATGGCGCTGATGCGGCCACCTCCTCCACCTGAAGAAGAGAGGCGCGAGGAGCCCATGGAGGACCTGCTGGAAACGAAGCTTCCGCTGGAGAAGGTGGTAGCCATGTGGATGGTGGTTGGTGTCTTACTCTGCTCTGCCTGAAGAGTGAGTACAGTGCAGAAGCTTTGAGTTCTTTTATACGCTGGTGAAGCTGTCAAGGAAGGACCTGCTGACCTCAAAACTTGCTGACAGCAAGGAATTCTATCAGCTTAAATCACGTAAAGTGAAAGGTGACGCTGAGATGTAAAATCAGTTGACTGATCATCCCCTCCAGGAAGTAAGATACACGCTTACATTCCCCCTCCAAAAGTTTCTCAGATGAGAATATCTCTGTACATGTTCAAACATTTTCTTGTTTTTAGTGCTGGATTTACTGTAGTAAACACTCTCACGCTCTAAAATCTTTGTATATTCAAGGTTGCACCGTTATTGGCATTGATTGCTCTATGAAGAACCTTTTAACATCCATGCAAACTTTGCACAAAACATTTGTTTTGCGGGGGAAAAGGTTCTTTAGATTGTTAAAATGTCCTTCACGCTAAATGGTTCAAAGAACTCTTCACTGAAAAAAGTGTTGTTCTGGGATTATTGTCAGAACACCTTTATTTCAGTTCAATTGTGCACTGTAAATCCTAAAAGGTTAAGGTAACTCAAACCATTTGAGGAAACCGATTGCAAAAAACCCTTTAAGTTCAAAAACTAATACTAATGAGTACTGTGAACTTAATCCATTTGAGTAAACAAAGCAGTTTGAACACAGTAAAACCCAATAAAATAAGAGAACTCAAACTAACTGAGTACTGTACAAACCAATAAGTTAAGGCAACTCAAACCGTTTGAGGAAACTGATCGCTACAAACCATTTTAGTAAAAAAAAACTAACCTATATGAGTACTGTGAACTTAATGTAATGAGGTAAATTCATTCATTATACCTTAAACACTGAGTTCAACATTCTTTTTTAAATGAGTTGTATAAACTTTCAGTAAATTTTGAGTTTACTACACTCATTTCATTTGATAAAGTTGACTGTTGGGTGTTACAGTGTTTCTGTTGCATTCTTAAAAAAAAATAAAGGTTCTTTAATGAACTTGATGGTTCAAAGATCCTGTGACATTTGTTGAATCTTTTTCTATTCGAAGAATTTTTTTGGAAACGGTTATTTATATTATAAAAATAACATTAATAATTGTAATTAATAATTAATAAAATGTGTTCTTCACACAACGACAAACATAGTTCTTCAAAAAAATGTTGACGGAAAGATTCTTTGAGGAACCAAAAATTATTCTTTTAAAGCATCATTGCCATCAGATGCCATAAAAAGAGTTCCCCTGGGAACCATTCAGTGAGCAATTTTTTAAAGAACATTTTAATACACTTTTTCCAAATACAATGTTAAAGGTTCTTCAATTAAATGCCAGTAAGAACTTATAAATCATAGGCCATTAACTGACTCATCAAATGATGCACTCATTTTAAAAATGAGCTACCAGGTCAAATGAGCAAACCAGGTCGCTGGTTTGCCTCGGCTAGGTCAGTTGGCATTTCTGTGTTGAGTTTGCATGTTCTCTCTGTGTTGGCGTGGGGTACCTCCGGGTGTTCCGGTTTCCCCCACAAATCCAAAGACATGCAGTATAGGTGAATTTGGAAAGCTAAATTGTCCATAGTGTATGTGTGTGAATGAGTGTGTATGGGTGTTTCCCAGTAATGGGTTGTAGCTGGAAGGGCATCCGCTGCATAAAACTTATGCTGGATAAGTCAGCAGTTCATTCCGCTGTGGTGACCCCTGAATAACAAATGGACTAAGCCGAAAAGAAAATGAATATAAAGATGTGCAGAGTTTGAACACCAGCCGTTCATGCTTGTGAGCTGTGTTGGATAAGGTTGAGTAACTGAAGATGGGGAATGAACAAATGAAGATATGAATACAGAACACCCATTGAATTGGAAAAGAATAGGCCTATAATTAAACAAGACGCTATGATGTAAGCTGACCTCGTTGGTAACTCATGATTTGACTTCAGTGACTTGTTTAGCAATTTTACTATAAAGATAGTTTGAAGCTCATGTTTGTGCATGTACCTGTGTGTTTCTCACCAAGTTTAAACAACGTTAAATTCCTCCCTTAGGCAGTGAAGCTGAAGTGCAAGAATTTTCATAAAAAGAAATTTATGGTGCATTTTATAGTTATTATGTGTCTTCAGTTCTTATACTGAAGTGCTAAGTAGGATTTGCATTAGCCCCCTCTTATATTAAATTAGCAGATTTAATAATGTTCCACATTCCCTGTACACTGTATATTGTTTTGCCTGAATTCTGAGCGCTTGATGTTACTTGATGAATGTTACTTGATAGTCTAATGCACTCTCTCTTGTGCACATCACTCTCGAATGCTTGGTCGTATACTCAACATTAAAGAAATAGGCTGCATTTGACGAATTCTTATACCTCAGCACGGAAAACGGTTTTGATAAATGAAAAATTCTAGCTACAGTTCCGTTAAAACGTTTGTGTAAACACGATTATCTCGTAACTGAGTCACCTAAGTCGAAATTTGCTTCTCTGAAAGCCAGAAATGTCCTATTTAGAGGGAAATAAATGGAAATATTAACTTTTCTACTTCTTGATTTTGCTGCGTCAATCGCGTGCTCGACCACAAGAGCGCGCGCGCGGCCGTCAGAAATGGCGCGGTTTTCTGAGGGAGAGTGGAGAAGGGCTGAGGTCATCACAAATGACTGCACAGAGGTTTGAAGGCAAATTTTGAGAATATTTTAATATTCATGCCGTTAAAATCCATTTATAAAATGTATTTCTAGATTGATAGTCGCTTTTCGAGGTAAGCTTGACTCAGTTTAGTTAAAATGCGTCTGTAAGATTGAATCCAGTTATTGTAGCCAAACGTCAGGTTTACATCGTCAGTGAAGCTATAATTGTAGATGAATTGATATCTGAATCCAACTTTTCCTGCGATAATTATGGCTGCAGTATTTATCATTTGTACAACTAACTTTGTATGTGTGTAGCAAAACCTTTAATTCATATACAAAATGTTTTATGTTGTTTGAATGCCTAGTTGCTGTATTAATACTTAAGACAGTGGTATTTCACTTTTAATTTATATTTTTCTTGTTGGCAAGATGTAGGCCATAGATATAATCTACTTTTAGATGTTAACAACTATATATTTTCAAGTAGAACATGTTAGTTTATACTAGAATCAGTATTTGTTGATGCACAGAGGGGTTCAAAATGCCAACATGTCATTTTCCTTTTTGTAATTTGTTATTAATATTTTTAAATCACTTGCTGTCGACTTTGAGTGGTTACATCACCCTTACTCTAAGGCCACAGGGCAAATAACTATGCACATGTCAGAAGACTGACAACGAGGGATTATAAAGCAGGTGTTAAATGAAAAGTCACTCGTATTTGAAGAGAAAACGCGGTTTGTCAGGTTAAAAGTGAAAAGATAAGAACTTCACTGCAAAAAAAAAAGGATTTTCTTAGTTTTTGTTTTTTTAGTTTTACTTATCCCACTTGCAGATTATTTCATTTGTTTCAAAACAAAAAAAAAACATACTTGACTGTTTAGAAAAAAAATCTATTGTCTAGAACATGCTTCTTAATTTAGAAACAAGACAAAAATATGAGTAAAACTATATATTTTTTGGAGTGTTATATTTGCTTTGCTCTTTGTATTATGAAGACGTAAAGCATAATATAATTTGTTCTATTTCAGACTTGATAAATGAATGTGGTCAAAACTTTTGAGTGTGAGCATGCTTGAGAAAGAACTATATATTTTTAATTTAGTTGTATTTTTAATTTTAGGTGTAGTTGTACATGTTTGTAAATGGAAATAATTTATAACATTGTTATTTAATATATCAAAGCATCAAGTTTCATGTTCAAAATTTTGTATATTACCACTTCAGAACAGAGAATTAAGTATTTATCCTTTTTTTCTAATCCTAATTGTCATACCAGAAAAAGGCTAATATTGCAGGATATGTATATATTTTTAATCTAAATGCCTAAATTTCCAAACATGTCATCTCAGCCAAACAGAAAAAACAGGACAAACAGTGTAAATTCACAGTTAGACCATTTTATTGGTTTTTCAGCACTCTTGAGGTGGATTGTTGTTGCTTAATGCTTTTGAGACACAACCTCGCTCGTAGATTGGGAGGATGAGCTGACCACTTTGCCGTCCACCACCTCTTCCACAATGGTTACCACCTTGCGTGTTGTGGAACTTGAGCTTGAGCTTGAGACACTGTTGAGGTAGAAACAAAGACTTTACAGAGATGCCAGACAGATATCTCCATCTTACTCCTATTGCATCATGACACCATAGTTTACTCTTACTGTTGGTTTGACTAGACTTGTGTTGTTGTGTCTCACCTTGTAGCCTCTCCATCCAGCAGTCTTCTGTACTCTGCAATCTCCATCTCCAGTCTGGTCTTGATGTCCAGAAGCATCTTGTATTCCTGGCTTTGACGCTCAAGGTCACCACGAAGCTGCACCAGCTGCTCTTCCAGGCTGCTCACCTGGAACTGGTAGCCAGATAGCATGGCAGCATAGCGGGCCTGTGTGTCTGCCAGAGTACCTTCCAATGACGCTTTCTGTTTGGGAAAAACATATTTATTAAGTTTTATTTCCTAAAACTTTGTGCAATGTGATGACACACATTGTCATCACACATTTGGAAGAATGCTCTCTGCTTGCTCACTTACCATGCTGAGTTGTGACTGAAGTTCGATTTCAAGACTCTGGAGTGTGCGCTTAACCTCTGTGATTTCAGAGCGGGATATTTGAAGGGTTTCTGTGCTCACAGCAACTTCCTTGGTGAGGGTTTCGGTCTGTGAAAGGTAAAACAGTCAGGTAAGTCTTTTCTTGGTTTGAAACATCACTGTGCTTTCTTTAAAAATATCAGCATTTTACCTTGGCCTGGAACCAAGCCTCAAGATCTTTGCGGTTCTTGGCAGCAACTGATTCGTAGTGTTCACGGATTTCAGCCATGATCTTTGTCAGGTCTTCCTGTGGTGCTGCGTCGACCTCTACGTTGACTTGTCCGGTCATCTGGGCACGCACTGCCAAGAGTTCCTGAAGGTACAATAGCAAACCACTGAGCATTTGCCTGACTCGCATGTCAAAAGGAACTACTGAGTGTGAACCAAACACAACTTTACCTCCTCGTGGTTCTTCTTGAGGAAGATCAGTTCTTCTCTCAGACCCTCGATCTGCAACTCCAGGTCAGATCTGGTCATTGTGAGCTCATCCAGCACCCTCCTCAAGCCAGCGATGTCTGCTTCCACAGACTGCCTCATGCTCAGCTCATTCTCATACCTGCACAAGTAAAACTGAAATGAGTACTTTGGATCTTTACAGATCTCTAAAAGTGCTGTTTGTATTGCAAGTAACCTACTTGACTCTGAAGTCATCGGCAGCCAGCTTGGCGTTGTCAATGCTGAGGTAGATCCCTCCGTTTAAACCAGTAGCATGCTGGATCTGTAGTGGCACAGGATGAATAAATTTTTTAAAAGGTGCAAATTTGATCTCACTTGCAGTTATTTTTGTGGATGTTCAGAATATATACTGTAGAAATGAGGAATCATTGTTAATTATTGTCTAAAGGTAGTTTAATGATTGACTTGGCTAACATGTCACATACAGTACCTTGACCTGGAGGTCACTGATTGTTGCATAGTAGGCACTGTAGTCCCGAGCAGAGGGAGCCGTCTTGCTGTCCAGGAACTGGCGGATCTTCAGCTCAAGATCTGCATTGGCCCTCTCCAGGGTGCGCACCTTCTCCAGGTAGGAGGCCAGACGGTCATTGAGGTTTTGCATGGTGGCTTTCTCATTCGCAGACACGTCAATGGCATCAGACAGATGGAAGCCAGCGCCATAGCCAGTGCTTCCAGAAGAGTAGGATCGAGAAAGAGAAGAACTGGAGATGCGAACCCCGGATCCTCCTGCTCCTCCATACACACTACCGGCACGCATTCCTGTGACACGACCAGCTCCACCACCAGAGACAGAGACTCGGGAAGATCCTCCTGAGGACATGTAGGTGCGGGTGGATGAAGAAGACATCATTTTGATGGAGTCCTGCTGTCGTCGTCTGCTCTGCCTGGAGAAGAAGTGAGCGGATGAGTACGGAGAAGATGACCCTTGTCCCTTTTTTATGTGGACAAAAGAGGGAGGGACTGGATGAATTGCCTGAGGGGGTGGACCCTGAAACTATTGCCAAATTCCCAAAGGCTATAGGTGTGGCTGAGACAGGTTAGTTTGGCATGTTAAAATTTGAATGGTTCATTGAGATTCTAAAGGAATGCCTTAAAGTTTATTCCATTAGAATGAAGTCATGGATTTCCTGATTTTTTATTTTCAGGAGTTTTTCAATCAATTTATTTCCCTTTTCATGGAACCTTTGATTTTTGCATTAGGAGTGTTCAGTATATTGACTGTCATATCTTATCAGCGCGATAAGAAAAATGGAATATTGCAGGGAAGTGCTCATGCAACCTCATTTTATATGCAGTCGGCTCGGCTTTTGTTAAGCACAAATAAAACGTTTTAAGACTTTTTATGTAAGGCACAGACCATTTAGTTTTAAAATGGCTGGGTTCAAATTTAAAATATTTTTAAACTATATTAAAATATTCACTGTACATTTTGTGATTAATGTTGTTTGACTTTTTTCAGCTTAATATTTTTAGCAGTTTTCAGTAATAAATTTAAAGTAAAAATCTTAATTTTTTAGGTGTAACATGTTTTTTTTTTGTCCAAAGTCCTATGTTTTTTAAAAAAATGTATATGCAATAATATCTGATATCAGAAAGTATCTATAAATTATCATTTCCCTGCATTAACAATTTTTATTTTTTTATAGCTGCTGCATTTAAACAGTATGGTTGTTGCCTAAAACCCAAGCTGATGCCTCAAAGGGAGCCTGATTAAACAGCAAGCAATTAAAAAGCAGGTTTAGCTCGCTTGAAGTGGGTTCTAGATTAACTGATAAGAATCAGGTTAGTTGAAACAAGGCAGCGAAAATTAATTTTTGTTTTTTTCAATGTTGAGTGAACATAATACCAAAGAAATAAACACTAATAATAAATAATGATGTAATTTCCTGATATTGCAGGACTAATTCTTCTATGATCATTTAAATATTTTGCTCTTTGTTATAATTTGACTTCTAATTAATTTTTTTGTAAATAACTTTGACCCATGCTATATTCTAGGTGCTTATTGAAATCCTGCACCTTTTGACCAACAAGAGGCAATGTCCAGATTGTATGTGGGGCTCCACCTGGCATAACAGAAACAGAAACCTTACTATTTTCTTCATGGACAGTGCCCGGAGCTTTGTTTTCCCAACCTTGTTTCTGGAGGGGCATTGTTGAATCAGGTTTGTTCATATATACCAAGGTAGGAAAATATTTATTGTTTGTTCTGGGTAGGGTTATGTCCATTCCAACATAGGTGATGAGCCTTTAAGTTTTGACCCTTTAACTTTTTGTCTATTTGGTGGTATTCCTTACAGCCATGCTTTCTTTTCCTTTGAGCCATGCATTCCTTTGAGCCATGCTTCATACCATTTCTTAATATGCATTCCTGTTTTGTGTATCTTGACATCTATCAAGGATGGTCTATTTATTAGCTGATTTGGCTTTAGATTAACTTTGTTGAAAGTAAATAAATTTGTTATATGATGATAGACTATTAAATTGTGATATATGCAGGTCTCCGAATTTAATAAGGTTAAAAGCATGGTCACAAAGTCTTTAAGTAAATACTCAAAATGGTTGCTGATTCTGCCTTTCATTTTGTGAGACACTTATCATCAAATTAATTAAAATCTGTGTCAAATTCTATTATTTAAACTATTAGTCAAACTCAGATCTGTTTGAAAAGTTTGGTCAGGCTAAGCTTAAAAGTCTATATTTTTTAACATTTAAGCTGTTATGAAAGCTTGTAAAGGTTTTTGCATATCTAATGATAAAAAAAAATAAATGAATCAGACAGGATTTAAAAAAAGGTTAAATGATCCTGAAAAGAAATAGTCAAGAAATAGTCATGTGTTCACTCTTCGGTGTCAAAAATGCGTTTGGAATTGAACAATAATATTATATTGCAAATGTTTGGAAACTCCAATCAATAAATGAATACCAAATGCTTATTTTTGAACTTAAAAATATAATAAATGCCTTATTTTATAGCAGTTTTAGAATTAAATTCTTAAAAAGAAATCTTTATAATATAACAATAACATAAACGTAATCTGCCAGGTGTCATTATTAAAACGAGGCCAAACCTAAGCATGTGGTACACAGTATTCAAGATTAACAACAGTTGTAAATTGTCCAAGCAGGATAGTTGGAAATTTAGTTTGATGCCTGAGCTTTTAAAGAGGTACATTATAATAAATACATTATGCATGCATACATACAGTTGAAGTCAGCATTATTAGCCCCTCTTGAATTATTTTCTTCTTTTTTAAATATTTCCCAAATGATGTTTAACAGAGCAAGACATTTTTCACAGTATTTTTAATAATAATTTTTCTTCTAGAAAAAGTCTTATTTGTTTTATTTCAGCTTGAATAAAAGCAGTTTTTAATTTTTTAAACACCATTTTAAGGACAAAATTATTAGCCCCTTTAAGCTATTGTTTTTTTCGATAGTCTATAGAACAAACCATCATTATACAATAACTTGCCTAAAAACCCTAACCTGCCTAGTTAACCTAATTATCCTAGTTAATCCTTTAGATGTCACTTTTTAGCTGTATAGAAGCGTCTTGAAAAATATCAAGTAAAATATTATTTACTGTCATCATGGCAAAGATAAAATAAATCAGTTATTCGAAATGAGTTATTAAAACTATTATGTTTAGAAATTCGCTGGAAACAATCTGCTCTCTGTTAAACAGATACTGGGGAAAAATAAACAAACGGTCTAATAATTCAGGGGGGCTAATAATTCTGACTTCAACTGTATATACATTATTATACTATAAATATAGATTATTAATATAAAATCCCCCAAAAAATACAGAATACCACTGAACTAAAGTACAGCCAACTTATTCTTCCTGAAAAATGAAAAATCAAACTTCCACATGAACAGCTCTAGGGCTTAATTATTTGACAGAATTTGAATAAATACAAAATTATTTACAAATTTGAAATATCACATGGCATCATCCTAGATTATTTTATATGAGTATTTCGGCATACTATCTCTTGATGTTTTCAATGGGCTGTATGTACACAGACCTTAAATTTTCAGCAAGGCAGCTCTGATTTCTTCAAAAATCAGAGATCTTCACTGCCTGATAGATATAGACAAGATCGGATCAGATCGGACAAGAAGCACTGCATTAAATCAATTTCCCCACACCATGTCTTTAAAATATGACAGTTTAGTTTACCCCAATATTTTCAATAAATTTTCGGCGCTAGCCTGTTGCTACTGACCGGTGCTAGCAGTTACAACAGTCTTTCATCTCGCTTTACGCTTGACTAACTAAATAAATGCTGAAGTCTATTTAACTGATTGTATTGTAATTACATTACAACACCCAGGCTGTAAAAACAACCTTGTGAAGTTGAAAAAAAGTCATATTAAGCTTTCACTGGAAGTTTTTCATGGCTTTAAAACTAGCGGTGAAATAGCCCATAGTGCATAGTATGTGCCTCTAATCCAGAGATGCCAATCTTGAGCCCGCAGGCCAAAGTTGGCCGATAGTAACCTTTGATTTGGCCTGCCATCCCATCTGAGATTGCTTTTTAAATCTAATGTAGCCTTTTGTTTGTTTGTTTTATTGTTAAAAGCTAGCTGAAATTAATTGTTTCAATTAATCATAGTAAATTAATCAGATTTAGTTTAAATGTACACACTGTCACCTGACAGATAGAGGATAATGCAGAGACTTTGGTGAGCAAATCAAGGCAAAGGCAGATTCTGCTTGACCAGTGTATTCATCTTTGAACTCCACTGTTCACTGTTATGTTTTTTGCAATAAGCTATCATTTTAAATGTTATCCTGCAATAGTGTAATAAATGCTGCTCAAAAAATAAAGGGAACACTTGGAGTTATTTAAGTCTTCCCTTCATTTATTTAAGCAATAATAGTTAGCTAAATTTACCTTCGGCCCACGGCTCATAATGATATTTGGTTTTTGGCCCTTTAAATGAAAAAGTTTTGGCCACCCCTGCTCTAATCCAAGAAAAGAATTGAATTGAACTGGGTAAAACTGGCTTTGATTGGGATACTTCAGATTATTTAATAATGCATCTTAATGCATGAAATACATTCTTTGTAATTGTGTCTTTAGTAATTGGTATTCATTATTGCCTTATTATGCTTAATTTTTAAGGAATCTTACCAATACTGAGTTATTGGCTTTGTTTTAAAAGATTTCTGCCTGTTACATCTATGTTGTGTCATCCAGTTTTCACGAATCACTTGTGCTTTTAATTGGCAAATCTATTCTAATATTAATGGACGACTTTTCATATTTATTATAATATGGGTTGCTTTTATACATGGTAAAAAATATATTCCCCAAAACAAGACAAGCACAAGTATTCACAGTGAGACCAGTTTATTGGTTTTCTTATCACACTGATTGAGAACTATTTTGCTGAAGATTTCTCTTAAGTGGTTTTAGTCTCGGTTGTGGCCTTGGAGGATGAGCTGACCACTTTTCCATCCACCACCTCTTCCACAATGGTTACTACTTTGCGTGTAGTGCTTGAGCTTGTGGAAACACTGGAGAAATAGAAATAGGAAGCATGTTACATTATATTCATTTTTTATCTGCAATATTTACATGTTTAGCTAAAGGTTTTCTGTAGTTGTGTCTCACCTAGTAGCCTCTCCATCCAGCAGTCTTCTGTACTCTGCAATCTCCATCTCCAGTCTGGTCTTGATGTCCAGAAGCATCTGGTACTCTTGACCTTGGCGCTCCAGATCAGCACGGAGCTGTATCAGTTGCTCTTCCAGGCTGCTCACCTGGAACTGGTAACCATTCAACATGTTGGTGTAGCGGGCCTGTGTGTCTGCCAGAGTGCCTTCCAATGACGCTTTCTGTTGGGGGAAAGTCATTATTATTAGTATAAACTATGCTGATGACAACAAAACGCATCAATCACAGACTCCTCTATTTATCGGTTGTTGCTCACCATGCTGAGTTGTGACTGTAGTTCGATTTCAAGACTCTGGAGTGTGCGCTTAACCTCTGTGATTTCAGAGCGGGATGTTTGGAGAGTTTCTGTGCTCACAGCAACTTCCTTGTTGAGGGACTCACTCTGTGAGAGGAAATGCAACAGAAAAGCAGCTAGATAAGTCATCTGTTGGTTTTGATTTCCATCTTGCTATACAAATTTGACATGTTAAAACAGATTTTTACCTTGGCCTGGAACCAACTCTCAAGATCTTTACGGTTCTTGGCAGAAACTGCCTCATAGTGCTCACGGATATCAGCCATGATCTTTGTCAGGTCTTCCTGTGGTGCTGCATCGACCTCTACATTGACTTGTCCACTCATCTGGGTGCGTGCTGCCAAGAGCTCCTGAAGAGACAAAGACAATATACTGAGCATTTGCTTGACTAATATACTTACAGAAACTATTGAATGTGAACTATTAATGAATTTACCTCCTCGTGGTTCTTCTTGAGGAAGATCAGTTCTTCTTTCAGACCCTCGATCTGCAACTCCAGGTCAGATCTGGTCATTGTGAGCTCATCCAGCACCTTCCTCAAGCCAACAATGTCTGCTTCCACAGACTGCCTCATGGTCAGCTCATTCTCATACCTGCACAGAAATAAAATCAATGTAAATGTTTTGGATCTATTATAGATTTTTTAAGTGTTTTTTTAATTGTGCAAGTCTTACAACAGTAGACTTACTTGACTCTGAAGTCATCTGCAGCCAGCTTGGCATTGTCAATGCTGAGGTAGATGCCTCCATTTACACCAGTAGCATGCAGGATCTTTAAGGACAAATGCAATGATTTTCTTAAATAATATGAAGCATCAAACCTTCATAAAAAGATATTTGGAATTTGTTCATTTGGAAATGCAATGATTAAATTAATCACACATTCAAAAGTTGTCACATACCTTTGCCTGGAGGTCACTGATTGTTGCATAGTAGGCACTGTAGTCACGAGCATTAGGCGTGGCCTTGCTGTCCAGGAACTGGCGGATCTTCAGCTCAAGATCTGCATTGGCCTTCTCCAGGCTGCGCACCTTCTCCAGGTAGGAGGCCAGACGGTCATTGAGGTTTTGCATGGTGGCTTTCTCATTTGTTGACACGTCAATGGCATCAGACAGGTTGAAGCCAGCACCAGCACCACCACCAAATCCTGCGCCGCCACCAGCAGAGAAGGATCTGGAAGCAGAAGAACTGGAGATGCGAACACCGGATCCTCCTGCTCCTCCATAGACACTACCAGCACGCACTCCTGAGACACGACCGGCTCCACCACCGACAGAGAGGCGGGAAGATCCTCCTGAGGACATGCGGATGGATGAAGAAGACATCATTTTGAAGGAGTCTTGCTGTCGTCGTCTGCTCTACCTGGAGAAGGAAGTGAGCGGATGAGTGAGGAGAAGACGACCCTTGTGCCTTTTATGTGGGCTAAATAGGGGAGGGACCCTAACCAGTGCCTGAGGCTGTGGAGAGAGAAACCTCCCAATTCCCAACGGCAGCAGGCCTAACTGGATGTTTGAATGGCATTTTAGCTTAAGTTACTTTTTTTTGGTGGTGCTGGGTGGGGTTATGTCCATTGCAAAAACAGGTGATGAGCCCTTAGGTTTTGACCCTTCAACCTTTTGCTGCCTTTGCCAGTTTGGTGGTATTCCTGACATAGTTTTGGCATTCTTTTGAATATATGTCATCCTGTTTCTGAATGTCCATTCATTATTGTGCATCTTGATATTTTCAAGGATTGTCCATTAATTACCAGATTAAAAATGTTGAAGATTGCGGAAACTTTTTTAAAAATATGACAAATATGTAATATAACGATTGACTGTAAAACAAATAATTGCAAGCCTCAGAATTTAATTAAATCAAAAGCATGGTCAAAAGGGAGAACATGCAACTCCAAACAGAAATGCCAACTGGCTCAGGCTGGACTTAAACCAGCAAACTTCTTGCTATGAAGCGACAGTGCTGACCACCGAGTAACTGTGCCTTCATGTTGGGAACATCCCACAAATAAAATCTTAGTGAATACTTGTTTTGTAAACCTCAAATTTGAAATTATTTATATATATATATATATATATATATATATATATATATATATATATATATATATTTTTTTTTTTTTTTTTTTTTTTTTAGCTCGATTAAACAGCAAGCAATTAAAAAGCAGGTTTAGCTCGCTGGAAGTGGGTTCCAGATTAACGGGTAAGATTCAGGTTTTTTTCAATGTGAAGTGAACATAATACTAAAGAAATAAACACTACTAATAAATGATGTAATTTCCTGATATTGCAGGACTAATTCTTCTATGATCATTTAAATATTTTGCTCTTTGTTATAATTTGACTTCTAATTCATTTTTTTGTAATTAACTTTGACCCATGCTATGTTCTAGGTGCTTATTGAAATCCTGCACCTTTTGACCAACAAGAGGCAATGTCCAGATTGTATGTGGGGCTCCACCTGGCATAACAGAAATGCCCGGAGCATTGTTTTCAAACCCTGTTTCTGGAGGGGCATTGTTGAATCAGGTTTGTTCATATATACTAAGGTAGGAAAATATTTATTGTTTGTTCTGGGTGGGGTTATGTCCATTCCAACATAGGTGATGAGTCTTAAAGTTTTGACCCTTCAACTTTTTGTCAATTCAGCGGTATTCCTTACATACTTTTGAGCCATGCTTTATACCTTTTCTTTATAACAATAATATAAACGTAATCTGCCTGGTGTCATTTTTAAAACGAGGCCAAACCTAAGCATGTGGTACACAGTATTCAAGATTTAAAACAGTTGTAAATTGTCCAAGCAGGATAGTTGGAAATTTCGTTTGATGCCTGAGCTTTTAAAGAGGTACATTATAATAAATACATTATGCATGCATACATACAGTTGAAGTCAGCATTATTAGCCCCTCTTGAATTATTTTCTTCTTTTTTAAATATTTCCCAAATGATGTTTAACAGAGCAAGAAATTTTTCACAGTATTTCTAATAATAATGTTTCTTCTAGAAAAAGTCTTATTTGTTTTATTTCAGCTTGAATAAAAGCAGTTTTTAATTTTTTAAACACCATTTTAAGGACAATATTATTAGCCCCTTTAAGCTATCTTTTGTCGACAGTCTACAGAACAAACCATCGTCATACAATAACTTGCCTAAAAACCCTAACCTGCCTAGTTAACCTAATTATCCTCGATAAGCCTTTAGATGTCACTTTAAGCTGTATAGAAGCGTCTAGAAAAATATCTAGTCAAATATTATTTACTGTCATCATGGCAAAGATAAAATAAATCAGTTTTTAGAAATGAGTTAAAACAATCATGTTTAGAAATGTGCTGAAAACAATCTGCTCTCTGTTAAACAGATACTGGGGAAAAATAAACAAACGGTCTGATAATTCTGGGGGACTTCAGCTGTATATACATTATTATTATATTATAAATATAGATTATTACTATAAAATCCTCAAAAAATACAGAATACGACCAAACTAAAGTACAGCCAACTTATTCTTCATGAAAAATGTAAAATGAAACTTCCACATGAACAGCTCTAGGGCCTAATTATTTGACAGAATTTGAATAAATACAAAATCATTTACAAATTTGAAATATCACATGGCATCATCCTAGATTGTTTTTAAATACAGGAGTATTTAACACCTGCCTGGGTGTTTCAAGTATGGCTGCGTCCGAAACCGCATACTCCCATACTATATAGTACGCCAAAATCAGTATGCGAGCCGAGTAGTATGTCCGAATTCATAGAATTCGAAAATCAGTATGTGAGAAGTACCCGGATGACTTACTACTTCCGGCGAGATTCCGGAGTGCGCATCCCATGCATGCTGCGCTATCCCATGATGCCCCGCGAGCGATTTCATGAATGGAAGTAAAGCGACGCAACTGACGCTGGTAGGTCACGTGACCATGACAAAATGGCGGATGTAGTACGTCCGAATTCCATTCATACTTTTCACATTCATACTGTATAGAACGTACTTTTCTAACGGCCGAGTAGTACGTTTAAATTCAAATGCAGTACCTACTGAGTAGTAGGCGGTTTCGGACGCAGCCACTATCTAGTAAGACCTTGATTAGCTTGTTTCAGGTGTGTTTGATTAGGGTTGGAGCTAAAAATCTGCAGGACACCGGCCCTCCAGGAACAAGTTTGGTGACCCCTGAACTAAATGAATGCTAAAGTCTATTTAACTGATTGTATTGTAATTACATTACAACATCCAGGCTGTAAAAACAACCTTGTGAAGTTGAAAAAAGTCATATTAAGCTTTTACCGGAAGTTTTTCATGACTTTAAAACTGTAGCTGTTTATATTGCCCATAGTGCATAGTATGTGCCTCTAATCCAGAGATGCCCAATCTAAAGCCCGCAGGCCAAAGTTGGCCGAAAACCTTTGATTTGACCCGCCATCCAATCTGAGATTGTAATTTCAAATTTATTGTAGCCCTTTGTTTGTTTGTATTATTGTTAAAAGCTAGCTGAAATTAAATGTTTCAATTACATATAGTAAATTAATCAGGTTTAGTTTAAATGTACATACGGTCACCAGACATATAGATGATAATGCAGAGATTTTGGTGAGCAAATCAAGGCAAAGGCAGATTCTGCTTGACCGGTGTATTTAGCATTGAACTCACTGTTCATTGTTGTGTTGTATTGCAATAAGCTGTCATTTTAAAAGTTACTGCATTAGTTAATACAATTTAAAATAATGTTTTTAAATTTTTTAAAAAATATTATTAAATAAATTAGTCAATTTAATGTAATATATACTGCTCAAAAAATAAAGGGAACACTTGGAGTTACCTTTTGGTGTTTAAGTGTTTATTTAATTTTTTTGAGCGGTAATACATGCTTTACCTTGGTAAATAAGGTATATTTATTAGGTTTTTGGCCTTTTATGCGAAAAGGTGTGGGCACCCCTGCTCTAATCTAAGAAGTGCTAAGAAGTGCCTTTATGGAGAAAGTTATATTAGGATTATTGGTAAACCTAATTTTTTTATGCATTATATAATGTAAGCTTATGAATTTCACCTCTAGGTTTAACGTCAAAACAGCAAAACTATTATTTGTGTGATAAATAAAAAATCAGAAATGGACACTGAGTTTAAGCTGGGTAAAACTGGCTTTGATAGGGATACTTCAGATTATTTAGTAATGCATCTTAATGAACAAAATATGCATGAAAACAATCTTTGTAATTGTGTGTTTAGTAATTGGTATTCAGTAATTGGCTGTCTTATGCTTTATTCAAATGAATCAATACTAATACTAGATGTTTTTTATGGCTAGACGTTATTTGCTTTGTTTTAAAAGTTTTCTGCCTATTACGCCTACGTTGTGTCATGCAGTTTTACAAATCATTTGTTTCTATTATGCTTCTAATTGGCAAACTTACTCTGCTATTAATAAACTAATTTTCATATTTATTATAATATGGGTTGCTTTTATACATGGTATAAATCATGTTCCCCAAAACAAGACCAGTACAAAAATTCACAGTGAGACCAGTTTATTGGTTTTCTTATCACACTGATTGAGAACTCTTTTTGTCAAGATTTCTTTTAAGTGGTTTTAGTCTCGGTTGTGGCCTTGGAGGATGAGCTGACCACTTTTCCATCCACCACCTCTTCCACAATGGTTACCACTTTGCGTGTAGTGCTTGAGCTTGTGGAAACACTGGAGAAATAGAAATATGAAGCATGTTACATTATTTAAATTTTTTAATATTATTATTTACATTGTTAGCTAAAGATTTTGGGTAGTAGTTGTGTCTCACGTAGTAGCCTCTCCATCCAGCAGTCTTCTGTACTCTGCAATCTCCATCTCCAGTCTGGTCTTGATGTCCAGAAGCATCTGGTACTCTTGACCTTGGCGCTCCAGATCAGCACGGAGCTGTATCAGTTGCTCTTCCAGGCTGCTCACCTGGAACTGGTAACCATTCAACATGTTGGTGTAGCGGGCCTGTGTGTCTGCCAGAGTGCCTTCCAATGACGCTTTCTGTTGGGGGAAAAGTCATTATTATTAGTAAACACTATGCTGATGACAACAAAACACATCAATCACAGACTCCTCTATTTATCTGTTGTTGCTCACCATGCTGAGTTGTGACTGTAGTTCGATTTCAAGACTCTGGAGTGTGCGCTTAACCTCTGTGATTTCAGAGCGGGAGGTTTGGAGAGTTTCTGTGCTTACAGCAACTTCCTTGTTGAGGGACTCACTCTGTGAGAGGAAATGCAACAGAAAAGCAGCTAGATAAGTCATCTGTTGGTTTTGATTTCCATCTTGCTAAACAAATTTGACATGTTAAAACAGATTTTTACCTTGGCCTGGAACCAACTCTCAAGATCTTTACGGTTCTT